TAATGTTTTATTCCGATACAGTGTGTCTGGATTCATTACGCGTGAAATTTGTGAAGACTGGATTAGAACTGTTCTGCTTGATTATATTAATAGAAAACGTGTTGAAATTAAAAATGAAATGAATGCGCTTGGAATTGAAATAAAAATGTCCGATCTTAGAGCTTGTCTAGTGTGGGATAATGCAAAAAGCCACAGTTCCTCGATTATTGAATTGTTACTCGCTGAAAATAACATAACTCTTGTTAGATTAACTCCACATGCTTCTCATTTCCTTCAAGTTCTTGATTTGGGGATATTTGGTAGGCTTAAAAGAAGAATGTCTTCTTTAAAAGCGAACGACAGTTTTGTAAATTTGCTTTTTCAAGAAGAAGTCGAAAATAAAGATGTGGATGGTAATTTATTTTGGGAAGATAAAAAACCAGATTTTTACAATATTGAACTCGGAAACAGACTAAGAGAGTTGATGATATTGGTGGATTCTTTCTTTGCTGTTACAACACCTCCTTTTAATATTATTGCTTTTAAACAAGCAGGAATAGTCAACTGGATTGACAAAACGCTTCCAAAGTGTCGTGTATCCATCGAACATTGTAAATTTATAAAAACGCCCCAATACAGAGAATTGTTCAAACAGTTTATTCCAAAACCAATTCCGTTGCTTCAAAAGAAAAGAAAGACAGTATTACTCCCTTTCCAAATTGAAGTTAAAAAAAAAGAAAGGGAAGTAAAAAAAAGCATTAAAAACCCAAAATAAGATAAAGAAAAAAGAAACCACAATTTTAAGATTGCCGTTGTCTTCTAAACCATTCAAAAAACTTGACAAAAAATGATTAATTTTTTCTTATTTTTTTGACTTTTTCATGTTATTTATGTTATTCTTAATGTTTTTTATAATTATAGTATAAAATAATAAATTATAGTTTCTTTACACCATTTGTCGTGTTTTCATTGCTTTTAGCGGGTGACTATACATTTAAAAAGTATTTGATAATACAATAGTAAAATTTATTATAATTTTAATAATTTAATTTTTTAATAAATTATTTTTATTTGATTTGATTTAATTGAATTGATTGACCTCTTTTTGATTAAAAACATTTCGATTGTTTTGTAAGTTTTAAACAATTACAGTTATTTTCTTTCGTTTTTTTATTGGTATAATCATACCTTTTACAAAAAACGATTCTTTCATTCTCAACAATGTTAAATGATGGTATACTTGAATTTAAATACATTTATAAACCACATTTAAATCTATTAATTATTTAAATGCTTGATACAATATAAATATTTTTCCTTTCTATACTACACAAATTGCCAAATTTCACTTCATTTAAAAACTATACATTATAAATTGTTCTAAACACATTAAACGATATTTAAAAATTGTGGGTATTTTTTGTTAAAAAGTTCTTTTAATAAAAATAAATACATTTTGTTAAAACAATTCAAAAGGTTATTAAACCTTATATAAAAAATTGTTTTTACCTCAAATAATTAGCAAAAAATTAATTATTTTATATGGAAATAATAAAACGCGGTTTCATTAATTCGAAACAATACTCCAAAAAGTGGTCTAAAACTATTTAATGATAATGGTGTGTGTGCTTTTGTTTGTCTTAATCACACTTTCATTTGGGCAGCCTGGAACTCCAGATAAACCAAAACATGCAAAAGAAAAAGACGAACAACATTTTCCCGAAATGAAATCACTGGAACAAACTCTTCCAACAGTTCAACAACCTCAAACACAACAACCAGGCATTCATCGTTTAAATCCCGAAACTGCGCCTTTTGTTCCAAGACAACAAAACTTGCCGTCTCAACATGAAATTGTCCAACAACATCCACAACAACGATACACATATTACTATCATCCAAAACAACCAACACAACAACAGTACTACTATTACCCTCGACCGTTTCAACAACCCTTATATCCAACACAACACTTCCCTCATTTCGTTCATCCTCAACAATTAGCACAACAACAATATGAACAATTGGGAGCTCGACCTAGAGTCGTTCAATATACACCACAACAACAAGCTGTCGAACATCCACAAGTACCACAAGTGCACCCTCCACAACACGTTGTCGAACATCCAAAAATACAACAAATACGTTCTGGACAAAGAGAAACGACTCCAATTCCGTTCAGACCAAATATAGTCATTTTTGAAAAGTTTGAAATGTGTGAAAATTATCAAAAACAATATTCTATTGTCAATAATTTTGCAATTGTAAGATTTTGGCCGGGTGAAGTTTGCCGAACAAAGGTGTGTGCAATTCCAAAGAAAACACCTCGTGTTCGAGAAGAGTTTTTGCTTCACGGATTTTGGCCTCAAATACAAGCAAATAAAGAACTCACATGTTGTGAATTTAAATTTCCAATCGAAAGGACTGAACATTTGATTTTTAAAGATCCAAAAACAACAAATTTGATATTGAGGAATTGGGTTTCTGTTGAAAAATGTGGACTTTCAATAAGTCAATTTGATCAACATGGAACTTGTGCGATGTCAAATTACAACAATAAAAAGGGTATATTTGAATATACAAGAACTGCCATTTTGCTTTATAAAAAATATGATGTTTGGAAAATATTAAAAGAGAGTGAATTAAAAGTTGAACCTAACAAATTGTATAACATTGAAGACATCAAAAGAGTTGTTGAAAATGCATGTGGTGCCGAACCCATTTTTACATGTATAAACTCGTATTCAGTGCATGAAATGAAATTGTGTTATGATATGAGGACTAACAGAATTAATCCACACCCAGTGAAATGTCTGGATAAGAACTATCGCGAAGAAAAAAATAGTTGTGGCAACCAAATCATGTTTGCTCCATTCCCAGAGTACTTGTTAAATCCAGAAACAGCTCCAAGAAATAACTGCGAATATTAAATAAAATCAATAATAAAAATATAACAAATCGAAAGTTTATTTTATTCAATTTATAAATATCATATTTTACTTTTTAGTATAAACAGGTTAGTTAATTTTGTTTGTAACAAAAAGGTAATTATATTTTTTATATTACAATAAATAAAATAAATTAAAAATATAGTTCCAAACACAAATCCCAGCTTTAAAAATTTATAATTAACACAAGCCAGATACCAGTCCAATAAAATAATTTACAATCTCAATTATTTTATACGACGAGTGTTTTGTTTTTTAATATATGTTCATATGCATGTGAGCAACAATTCGGCACCAAAAATTATTGTAAAATATATTATTTTTTTTACTTTAATTCTGATTGTTTAAAATTTCAGTTTGATTTTATGTGTTTACATACGAAAAAACAATTTTATTTTATTGATATGTTGTATTTAATGAAAATAGAGTGGTTAACAGTAAAACATTGTATTCCAAGCATTGTTAAATTATTTTATAACATTAAAATATATAATAAATTTGTTTTTGTATTTATATTATTTTAAAATGTTGTGGTGTTATCGAGATACTATTTGAATAAACAGTATAATAATACAGAATCTAACTGATTTTATTAACATTGCTTTTGTTAAAAACAATATTATAATGTTTTTAATTGTTTATTAAAGTTTGTTAATAGTGTCCATAACAATTAGTTAAGTAGTGAATAAAAGTTATGTTTTTTGTGATTAAATAGTATCTTTGTGAAATAGTTCATTATTAAAAATGGATTTATATCAATATTTATAATTTTAAACAATATTATTAGATTTTTATAATGTATGTATTTATCCTTGTTTTTCGATTTTTTTTCAAAAATAATTTATGACTTAGATAATGTTGTTTTTTAATAAAGTGAAAGAAATTTACATCTTGTCACGATACATTTGAGTAAAAATAATAAGCTATACAATTGGATTAATTTTTTGTTTTATAAGTTAAAAATTTTTGTCAAAAAAATTCCATAAAAAAATGTTGTTATTGTTTTTTTATCTAAAACAACTTTATTGAAAATAGCAATGATTTGGGTAGTTACGTTGTTTTTTATCACTCAATGTAAATCACAAGATGACCTTTCTCTAGCATTTAAATTAATTGAAGACCTTAAAAATTCAAATGTACTTTCAGTTGTCGGCTTAAAAGAGCTGTCAAATTTTATTAAAATTCATCGAGACATCGTTCCTCAAACTTATGTAGAAACTATTGAAACACTTTCAAAAGATGAGAAAAACAAAATAAATCTTTTAGATAGAATAATTGACAAGAGGAGAGTAAGAAAAAAAGACGTGACAAAGTTATGTCAGAAATACAATAAAATAATAAGTAATCCAACATATGAAAATAATTACTTTGTTTCATTGAGCGAAGGGACGGATGTTTCATTACAACTGGATGATAAAGCTCCGAATTTTCAAATTGTTCAAAAGATAACTCCCAACTTTGAATATCTTAAAACTATACTTGGAATGGATTTGAAGTTTGTTGATAACCTCGAAAAACTGGAAATTTTTAAAGAAAATGTCCAAGTCAAAACACTCAAAGTAACATTAAAGAAAATTATAACAAGCTTAGAAACGAAATTGCGACAAACTCCAACTGCTTCAAGAACACAACTCATTGTTGATCGTAATTTATTAACCGATTAATATTTTTTGTGTCATGACAGTTACTCTAAAAATACCGAAAATGAAACATCTTTCGAATAATTACTATATTAAAGCATTATTTCAGTGATTTGATCAACATTACTTTTGTTGATAATATACTGATTATGTTTTTAATGTGTCGTGAAAGTCCATTGATAATGTCCATAATATTTTGTAGAATTATTAATTAGAGCAATGTTTTTGTGATTAAATATCTTGCTTGTAAATTGGCTCATTCTTATAAAATGCAATTTGCATCAATATTTTAATATTTTTACCTTGATATCTTTTAAAAAGTATTTTAGTTGTGGTTATTTTAATTAAAATTAAATATATCTGATTTTTGTTTTTATCAACAAATTGTCAAAGTAATTTAAACATAAGTTAATATAAAAATTAAATGATCTTATATATATAAGATTATATATAATCTATAATATATACACATTACAATTAATTTTGTTATAATAAAAAATTTGAATAATTGCATAAGTTACAAAGTTATTTAATCACATCTATTGTTTATTCAATTTTAATTTCCAAAAAGTCACAATCACATTAAAATATATTATTATATTAAATAGATAAAAATTATTATTAAAGAGACAACGTGGCCGAGTGGTCCAAGGCGTATGACTCGAAATCATTTCTCATTTGAGGCGTAGGTTCAAATCCTGCCGTTGTCGTTTTTATTTTCATTATTCAAATATCAATAATAAAAAACATTTTGAATTACTAAAAAGTGCATGCC